AGAGAGAGAGAGAGAGAGAGAGAATTGGGGAGAGAAGAGTGAGAAAGAAGGAGACAAAACTAGAAGACGAGTGATACGAGAAAAACAAGAAATGTAAAAAACAACACTTTGATTGAAACAGGTACTGACACGATATTGATTTCTCTTCCAATAATCTATGAAAAATGTTGTCTTCTCTCCATCACTTAAATTAATTACAATAATACAAAGTAAAAAAGACAACAACTAAAAACCCCCAACAAAAACAACAAAACCAATCAAACAAACAAACAAACAAACAAAAAACAACCAAACCCCAAATAAATTACAAAACCACTATAACTACGAGATTACCAAAAGAGAAACAAGCACAGAAGAATGACACTGATCTCTGGAAATGGACTGTTCATTTATACCACAGATTCGTCCCACCCTTTTTCATTATTCATTTTGGTTTCTCTCATGACGTCAAATATCGCAAAGCTTGAAGAAAGAATAAACAGTTAAGATAAGATAAGATAAGATAATCCCAGAGGGAAATTTTTCTTTTCTGTACAGGACCGTAAAAACACATGCAGATATACATAAACATTTAAATTATATATTAGGTCTACCCTCATTAAATTCAATATGAAAAGAGAAGTAAAGCTGACAAAATGTACACATCACATCAAATGCATCATTCACCCTCATGCAGAAATTAAATTACAAGACTTTTACAGTTATTTAGATACATACTCAAAAGTGCAATACACACTGATGCTTATTCAGACAATAGTCTTATGCTTGATGAATAAAAAAAGCAAACTTCTTTCACATCTTTCTTTCTTTGTTTTTAGAGGTACATAATATTTTATTGGCCGCTGCGTGATCTTACAGTTTTCGTGGAAAGGTGTTGTCATGGGACTTTTATAATGCTTTTTATCTGTTTTGTACTTGTGGTGATATACATTTCATCAATTCTAGTAAATCATATGTAGAGATCTTGCTGGCTTTCTTTATAATTCTCTCGTACTTTTCTTTATTTTTCACCCTACAATTCCCTGTCTAGCAGCAAAATTAAATACAAAATAATAGCACGCTTTCAATCACAGTTTCGTTTTAAAGGGACATAATCTAATTATCATTACGAAAACTTCTTAATTTCCTTAATTAGTCAAGCTTGTTATCAATTGTTATTCTAAGATGTTTGTAAGAGTTTACCACCTCCACCTCCTCATCTTTAATAAATAATGTTTGCAATTAGTCTTTTTTACTCTAAAGTCTTTTATCAATTCATATGTCTTCTCTTATACATGTAGTAAAAAGAAGTGGTTATCACACCAAGTTGTAAATTCTCTTACATTTACAGAGTCCTTGTATTCAGTCTCATTTGTTGTTACAAGGCCTTGTAGAGTACCATTCGCAAATTTTATTAGTTTGATGTTTTTGTTATCAAAAGTACAGTCGTGGATGTAGAGCGTAAACAAGACAGGGGAGATTGCGTAAACAAGACAGGGGAGATTGCGTAAACAAGACAGGGGAGATTGCGTAAACAAGACAGGGGAGATTGCACAATCTTAGGGGGCACCGGTGTTCGTGAATAATAGGTCGAATTTTACACCATCTGATTTTACATATTGAGGTCGATTGGTTAAGAACTCAAGAATCCAATCCGTAATGTTCTTGTTTATGTTCATGTTAATTTTGAAATCACTATGTGGGGTTGGATTGTGTTGAAAGCGGATGAAAAATCAGCAAAAAGTATCCTGCAGTAATTTCTCAGTGTGTCTAAGTGCTTGTAGATGTTATCTAAGAGTATGACAAAGGTATCATCTACGCCCCTCTTGGAGAATAGGCAATAGCATGTTATCATGTATGTCTTCTGTTGATTTCCTCAGGTTTTCAGAACCAGTTTTTCTAAACATTTCATAAGGATTAATGTTGAAAACCCGCTGAGATGTTTTTAAATGTGATTTAGGAAAATAATCGTAACGGGCAATTCCTTCTAAACGTTTTTCTAGTCAATAAGCGAATCATAATGTAAAACAAAGTAAACAGGTCAACAATATGTACTTTGTTTTTATAAATACAATGATTTGCATTTGTAATTTAGCTCAAGAAACAAGATTAGCAGATTTTTCTTGAGTACTTTTACTTGAAAAACGGCGAATTTCAGTATTACTGACTGATGCCCAAGTGTAACACACCAAAAAGATTTCCATCAAGAAGCACGCTAATTTCATTCCTCTCCCCCTACAAAATACCCCCCTCCCTCAAACCCCCCACCCCCACCA